TTATTGTTAATCATTAAGTTTAAAAAAGAGACTTTTGAAAGCAAGATTAAAATCTTAGAAGATAGAGCAACTAAATAAGCTTAAGGAGATGATTCTAAGTTCAAGTTGTTGAAAGAATAATTATAAAAGGTTGAAGAGGGTGCATAAAATGAGAAAATTATTAGAGAAGTATTAATTGTTTAAGAATTAGGCTGGAGATGAGAAATTAAGATCAAAAGATTTAAAGGGATTAGAAGGATTTTTGAATAAAGAATTATAATAAGAAAAAATAAATAGAAAAGATTTTGAAGGAAAAATAATTAAGAATACAGATGATAAGGTTTATAGTTTAAAATTGGATTTGGCAAGATAGAAGAAATATAGAGAAGAAACAGAAGAGAAGAATGCTTAAGAGATAGGAGATCGTATTTTGTAATTATAAGAAGAAGTAGAAGAGGAGAGAAGATAAAGGTATAAATATTAATTAAATTATAATAGAGAATAATAAAATCAAAATACAATAAAGAGATTAGGTGATTCTATTTTAAAATTGTAAGAGATCTTAACAACTGAAAAGAAATAGAGAGAATAAGCATAATCTTAAATGTTTAGAATGTTAGATGAAATGAATCATTATTTAAATAGCGAATTAACTAGTGAAAAGAATGAAAGAGAAGCAACAGAAGAGAGTCTGATTAATTTGATAGATCAAACATGCAATAGAGTTGAAAATTCATTAAGAAAATGAAATCGTATGTATGATCTTTATACATTTAATTTTAAAATAATGTTCAATTCTCAAGTGCCAGGACTAAAAACTAAACGAATATATGTGTTTCTTTGTTGCTTTCTTCAATATGCTATGTTACACTCATGTCGTTCCACTTGGAGTTACACTACTGGAATATTGACATCTAAAGAGGATCATAAATATGACGATTAAAAAATAGATGATTTTGATAAGAATTATTTGGCTGACGTTAACTTTGCATTTCTATTTACATACGGATCATCAATGTTATTGTAATTAATCTCATTCATCAAAGCTTAGGATAAATAGGAGATAGAATAGGACCTAAAAGATTTATGTTAATTGGTACTTTTATGACTGGAATTATTTAATTCTTGATTGCAGTATTGTTTGAAGTTGAAAGACATAATAGATGGTTAGTTTTGATGTTAATGATATTAAATGGTGTGGCATAGGCTCCAGTTTGGCCAGGTTTAATGGCCATTATGAATAATTGGTAAAGCAAACCAAAAAAAGTTATTGTTATGGGGTATTTTACAGCATGTACAAATATAGGAAACATTTTTGGGGATTTATTTGCATAAATACTCATAGAATAATTTAATTTTAGAGTCATATCTCCTATCTATGTTGCTGCTATTGGAGTTATATTAATGTCAATCATCAATATTTTTACTATTCCAACTGATTCAGCTAAAGAATATATTGCATCATTTCGAAATCCTCATACGAAATCACTTGTCTATAAATAGGCACATGCAGAATATTTGAGTAGAGCAGGATCAAGAACTGGCTCAGTAGTATCTAATTAAGATTTAGATATTTCAAAAAGCAATATCGATCAATCCCTTTTGACAGTAGCTAGAAATACAATAGGAGAACCACAATTATAACCTAAACAACCTAAGAAAGACAGTATTAATATGTTTTCTGCATGGAAATTACCCAATGTGGCACTCTATGCTTTTGCTTTTGGATGCATCAAAGCAGTATTTTATATATTAGCATTTTGGCTTCCTAATTATTTAAATGATTAACATTTGAAACATGTCTCACTTATAACTTAGATGATAGAATGGGGAACTATCCCAGGAGGTATTCTAATTTGGTATTTCTATTTTAACTATATAGTTATGCTGGAGTTTATTGGAATATTAGAGCAATTCTTATAGTACCAATTCTTTGGATAGGTACAGTTGTGATGATTTGTATCGATCAGTTGCAAAAAATTTAGAGTCATAATTCAGACTATTTATATTATATTTTAGTATTTTTAACTGGTTTATTGATTGGAGGAGTATATAACAATATTTCTGGAGCTATTGTAATTGAACTAAGTAATATGAAAGAATTGAAAGGTTAAATTTATATTAAATTCTTTTAGGTAATAAGAAATCAACTGCAACTGTTACATCTGTTGTTATGGGATATGGTGCTACATTTGCTGCTCTTAATTAACTTATAGTTCCACAATTAGAAAAGAAAATATTTTTATATTGTGGATTGAATGCTATAATTGCAGGAATGTTTCTTATTCCATTAATTATAAATGAATACAAAAGACTGAGAGAAAAGAAGAGAAATGTGGTAGATTAATGAATAAATTAATAGTATTAAATATATTATTTGTATATTTAATTGTTAAATTTAACAAAATTCTTATTTATCAGTTAGAAGGGTTAAATTTATAAATAAAATTGTTTAAAATAAAATCATTTATTAACATTTTAAATTACATTTTTATAAGGAATAGAAAATTAAAACTTATTTATAGAAGAACATTAATTTGAATATTAATAATAAACTCTTCATTATCATTCTTTCTTCTAAGTATATTTTAATAATGGATTTTCTTATTTCTATTATGGAATGTTTCTATAAAAGTTTGAATATTAATTTATACTGTTTAAAACGGGAAGGTTTAATTTAGGGAGAAGCTTAAAAGTTATTTTATTAATTTTTTTAAGGCATTCCAATATTAGGAATACTGTCAACACTGTCAGTTTTACCAGTCAATAGAGGTGAATTCATTTATACTTAATTAGAGGAATCAATATTCTTTTAATGTTTTAATTATCTAGTAGCCAAACCACCAGGAGATGATTAAGGTGAATTAAGTAATTGATTTTTTCTGGATGCATCAAACTTTGCAGATCTAATAAAAATATTAATTTAATAATTTACTCTTCATTTAATGCATTCATTCTCATTCCTAAATCATTATCTTCTCCTTCATCTATAAAGTCATTTGAATGATCATCTAACATTATTTAATTCATTTCAGCTAAAAAAGGATGCTATAGACATTAATTTGCAGTTATTCTTTTATTAGGATCTTTTTCAAGCATTCTTTTTAATAAATCAATAGCAGTATTAGGAGCATTTTGTAATTGCTTAATAGTAAAATCAATTGTTGCTTCTCTATTTTATTTGACAACAGTGCTATAACTCTTTCCAGGAAAAGCAGGTTTACCAGTTAATAATAAATAAAAGACTAATCCTAAACTATAGATGTCACAAACAGAACTATAATGACCTTTCATATCCTTAATATTTATAACTTCAGGAGCAACATAACCAGGAGTTCCACATCGACAATATAGATAAACTGGTTCATTTACATGAGTGGCCAATCCAAAATCTGCCACAACTACTGTTTCCATTTTCCTATTATTTTTATTTATGAATAATTTTACTTTTGTTATTTGAATAATATATTTTCTAATTTTAAATCTCTATGCATTATTTCTTTTTCATGCATATGACACAATCCTTGTAGGACTCCTACTAAAATTTATTATATTTATTTTGTATTTAAAATGATTTTATCTTTGATTAGATCATACAATGAACCACCTTCTAATAATTCAAGTGCAACATAGAGTGAGTTTTAAGTTTCAAATATCTCATGCATTCTCATAAGATGATGATTATTTAGTTTTCTCATAATTGTTAATTCATTTACGATAGCCTCTTTTCCATGATCTTCTGCATAAGCTGCTTATTTTGAAAATGCTTTAATTGCCATCTATGCACCATCTTCTATGCGTTCTCCCAAATAAACCTAAAATTAAGGGGATTAATTACAGATGCAAAATTACCTTTTCCAATTTTCTTAAATACTCTAAAAAGATGATGAAATTACCATTAATTAATTCTAGGTTAAAAAAATTCTCTCCATTAAGTTATGACTTTTTCATTTGCTGATAGTTTATAACTAGGCATTTGATCTTATCCATGATCTCTCATTAGAATCATTCCTATTATAGTACCCAAAGAATCATCATCTTCATCCTTTTTTTAGACTGTTGTTCTAATTATCTCAAATTTAGTCTCAAAATCTAATTTGAGATATTTAGATGGAGGATCTTCAGGTTTCTTTGTGAATAAGTTAATTTTATCATACTTTTGATATAAGAATATATTGATCATAACCGATCAAATATCTCAACTTTTTGTTAGACTTTTAGAATTCAGATTTCAAAAGAGGCTTATCATTTTTCCACTTTAATTCATTAGGAATAGCTACCCAAAGTTTTTATTTCATGTATATTAATATTAAAATTTTTAACCAGTTTAATCATACTTTTTAATATAAAAACATTTGAATAAATTCTTCTATATATAGACTACTTTTCATTCCTATATTCTAATGTAAGATTACATTTCATTAAATTTTGAAACTTCCTCCACTTATTAATATTTATTTAATATCATTTTCTATATTTAGAATTTAGAATTTCTTAAATAATAATAAATAATATAATTTATTTAAAATAAATTCTTATTCAAGATGGATAGATTTAATAGGTTTAAATTTTTATATACGGATTTTTAAGTTAAAAATATATATGATATTTATTCATTATGAATTTTCACATAAAATGATATTAAATTACCGATACTTTTTTTAGAATAAGTCTAAAAATGATGTAATTATTATATAATAATACTAGAAAAAAGATTAAGATAGGAATTTTTAAATATAAGGATTTATATAGAATTTTATTAAATAATCGATGATTAAATTAAACACAAAAAATTTTTTAGTTTATTTTATAAAATTAATTCCCATTTTGTTACTTATAATAAGATTATTTGTTCCTTTTAATAAATAATTCATAATCATATATATGATATCTTATGTATGTTATCCAATAAAGATTTATGAGATCTTAATTAATTAATTTCCAATAAAATTAAGGTTATAATAAACATATTATAGAGAACAATATATTTAATAGAATCAATTTTTAGAATATATTTAAATTCATTTTTTTAATAAGAAGTCTCTAAAGATATTGGGGGAATCTGAGTTTTANCTAAAAAGATGATGAAATTACCATTAATTAATTCTAGGTTAAAAAAATTCTCTCCATTAAGTTATGACTTTTTCATTTGCTGATAGTTTATAACTAGGCATTTGATCTTATCCATGATCTCTCATTAGAATCATTCCTATTATAGTACCCAAAGAATCATCATCTTCATCCTTTTTTTAGACTGTTGTTCTAATTATCTCAAATTTAGTCTCAAAATCTAATTTGAGATATTTAGATGGAGGATCTTCAGGTTTCTTTGTGAATAAGTTAATTTTATCATACTTTTGATATAAGAATATATTGATCATAACCGATCAAATATCTCAACTTTTTGTTAGACTTTTAGAATTCAGATTTCAAAAGAGGCTTATCATTTTTCCACTTTAATTCATTAGGAATAGCTACCCAAAGTTTTTATTTCATGTATATTAATATTAAAATTTTTAACCAGTTTAATCATACTTTTTAATATAAAAACATTTGAATAAATTCTTCTATATATAGACTACTTTTCATTCCTATATTCTAATGTAAGATTACATTTCATTAAATTTTGAAACTTCCTCCACTTATTAATATTTATTTAATATCATTTTCTATATTTAGAATTTAGAATTTCTTAAATAATAATAAATAATATAATTTATTTAAAATAAATTCTTATTCAAGATGGATAGATTTAATAGGTTTAAATTTTTATATACGGATTTTTAAGTTAAAAATATATATGATATTTATTCATTATGAATTTTCACATAAAATGATATTAAATTACCGATACTTTTTTTAGAATAAGTCTAAAAATGATGTAATTATTATATAATAATACTAGAAAAAAGATTAAGATAGGAATTTTTAAATATAAGGATTTATATAGAATTTTATTAAATAATCGATGATTAAATTAAACACAAAAAATTTTTTAGTTTATTTTATAAAATTAATTCCCATTTTGTTACTTATAATAAGATTATTTGTTCCTTTTAATAAATAATTCATAATCATATATATGATATCTTATGTATGTTATCCAATAAAGATTTATGAGATCTTAATTAATTAATTTCCAATAAAATTAAGGTTATAATAAACATATTATAGAGAACAATATATTTAATAGAATCAATTTTTAGAATATATTTAAATTCATTTTTTTAATAAGAAGTCTCTAAAGATATTGGGGGAATCTGAGTTTTATGAGGAGCACTATTCTCTAATACATTCAGCAACCATTCCCTCAAGAATTCTAAAACATCTTACCATTCCTTAATCTTTAGATGAACTAGTTAAGGTACTTACTTAATAAACACAATATAATATTGATTTTTCAGCTTTTCCTTAACATGTCATTTGACATGCTTAAAATTCGTCATTATTAAGTGGTTACTTATTATCTAGATCATCTTTTATCAATATATTAATTGCTATTACATAAACCACAAGTTACTAGCCCAATCATAAAGGAAACTATTATTATCCTAGAAATCATTACTTATTAATTTATATATAATATAAAATTTTGTTTATATATTTATTTGTAAAATATGATATTGCACTCATTATAAAAAAGGTGAATCTGGTATTAATACTTTAATCCTGTTAAATGTTTGAGTTAATTAAGCTTATTCTAAGACACTAAATTCATATTTTTTTTTTGCACAAATTGAATGTATTTTTAATAATTCAACTTCAAATAATCGAACATAAATAACAAAAGACTTGGCTAATAATAACAAATCTTATTTATGTAATAATAATGGATCTATTTTTGTTATAATATTTCTTATAAAGTCTTTATTATCTATTCTAATAGCTGCTGATGCAACTATGACTTAAACTAATTCTTTTTCTATTTAAGTTTATTGAGATATATTTACATTCAAAATCATTTAATGTAAAAACTTGAGATCTATGTGATAATTCAATTAATATTTTTATTGTTTTTTCCAAATTAATAGATTCATAATTTTTATTTTTTATTTTAGCTACAGCCAAAAACAATTAAATATATTCTGATATATTCAATTTTTCACTTTTTGCATGACAAATTCTTAACATTTATTTAACTAATTATTCTCCTTCCTATTATTCTAATTCTAAACAAGAGAGTATTAAATCAATCACTTTTTACATAGATATATTTAAATTATGTTTTTGTGTTGATTCAATCTTTTATGTAAGTAAATCTACCATTTCTTTTACATATTCTGTATTTTCATGATTTGTTATTCTTAATAATTCTACTAATACATTTACAAATTAATCTTAACTTAATAAATCTTATTAAAATTAATCAGATAATTATTCAAAAATTATTTTTGAATTAGTAAATGATCCAATAGGTAAACTTTTTATTAAAGTAATCAAATTACTAGGTGTTTAAATAGAAATATTTTATTAAGTTAATTTTGAAATCCTCAATATTAAATCATTTTTATCTTTTAGAATATGATATAATGAGAATGCTAATGATGGTAATGTTTCAGGTGGTATCTTTTCTAAAATTATTTCAGCTTATTATTTAATAATGAATTATTTAGAGTCATTTAAATTTAAATCTCCCATTTCAATTTAATATGTAGACAGTGCCCAAACAAAGGCACAAAATTATTCTGGATCTAATCTGTTAATTTCCAATAAGATTTTAGATGTAATTTGTTAAAATCTATCTGAATGATTTTTCATTTAATCAGCATAATCTTCATTTCTTAAACAACTTGTAAAATAGAGAAATAAACTCAATTCATTACAATTAAATGGAGGTTAAGGATTTTTTTCATCTAATTATTTTGCTATTTCCTTTGAATAAAACTCAAAAACTTCATCTACATCACTCATTTACATCAATTTAAATGAAATCAATTATTCTCTTTCTTTAAATACATTTTCCAAAATTTCTATTATTTTGTTATAAAAATATTACACTCTTTTTATTATAAGAACTATTCAAAATTTTCCTTCTTTTAATATAATTGCTTTAATTTTTCAATATCTTCCTCTGATATTTAAAACTTTTCATTACAAAACCTATAAATAGGTATTCTGTAACAAATTCTCATAAGTCTAGAGCAATATTTAATCATTATAAATTATTTATTTAATTTTATTCATAATTAAATTTTATCAAAACTATAAAACAAAGATAATTTAGACAAACAAAATTTTATTATTTCAAATCATAACAAAATCTAATTAATTTAAGAGTTCTTTTGATAGAAATAAAACAACAAGTTCAATTAAGTTCTTTTATAATAAAGTTTTATATATATTAATAATTGAAATACTTATGAATTAATATTTTCTGTTAATTCCCTAATTAAGATTAATCATTTATCATTAAGTTGAAAATGTAAAAAAAAAATAATAAATATAATAATGGGTTAGTGTACTTCAAAAAAGTAGAAAAGAATAATCTTAGATAAATAACATCAATAGACAACTTCCAATAGTGTAACTCCAATCAAACCTAAAAAACTATTGCCTTTGAAACTATAAAATATTTAATCTGATGATTTAAATGATTAATAAAAGAAGGAAATTAAAGATGAATAAAATCCATCTCCTCCACCAAAGTTATATTTTGATAGTAATCATTTGAATGTTGAAAAAGAGAGCATTTTTGGAAGACCAAAAGTTTAGAGTATAAGACTCAATTAATAATACTAAAACAATCATAAGTAAGAAATCTTTTTTGGAATGAAGGTTCGTTATTCTCATCCTCATTTGTAAAAATGAAAGAATAACAATACTTATGATAGACATTTATATAATTTTATATACTAATAATTCCAATTCATTTTGAATAAATAGATACATCAATATGATTATGATATTTTATACAATTTCATTTTGAATTATATGTAATTATTCTACAACAATGATAAATTAGACAATTCATATATAGGAAAAATCTAAATATGTTTAAATGTAAATCAATTTGTATATTGAAATGTAAATGAAAATTTTGAGACCATCAAAATTTTGGATAAATAATTTACAAAATTATCAATGAATAGAAATCATTAGATGATATCATATAATGAGCAAAATACATTTCAATTTTATTAATTAATATTCAATTTAATAATTAGAGAAAATTAAGTTTATAATTAAAAAGTAAGGAATTTAAAATTGAAAGAAAAGACTTTATAATCTATATTATCACTTATTATATACGTAAATTAGAAAATTGAAAACAAGCTCATTATATAGAGATTCTATATGAGTACTTAGAATATATAGATAGTAATGATGATTAAAAGATGGAATAAATTAGATACTGTAAAAATATTAATTATAAATATATTTTAATTGAATTTTATTACAATTAAATATAAATTAATTTTATTTTTAATCAATGTCTTTGGAAGTCAGCAAAAAAAAAAATATAAATGAATATATTTTATTTATTTAATTATAACATAATAGTTATCAGTTTTCTTCTTATATTATCAAAGATTCTTATTAGAATGATGGTTAATCTTATGCTTTAATAATTTGAAAATGCTTAGTTTATTTTCTAAATAGTATTTTTTTTTAAGCTTAACTTGAGATAGATGGTGCAAAATTATTGTTGTTATTTCTTTTATTATCAGAGATATTGCTATTAGATTATTGTGATTGCATATTAAGAATTGTTTATTTAATTACAATTGTATTTTTGATAGTTTTTCTTTATTAGCTGATATTAATTCCTTCAACAGTTTATCTTTTAAATTCTTCAACACTATTTTTAAAATAAACAATAAATATGCATCAGGATTATAATTTTCTATTGTTGAAATGAATTATGTCGGTTTTTAAACTTTCATATCATCATATGAATACTAATCTACTTTCTACCATAATTGTCTAATCAATTAAGCAAATGATTTAACTATATTTCCTTAAGATGATAGAGGATTATCAGGATTTATTTCTTTTATATGAAGTTAAGACATAAAAAAATCAGTTAATGGCTATGTATTTGATAAGGCTTAGATAGACTATATAAATATTAATGATACTGAATTAAGAAAACATGTATTTCCTAAATTAGTTAATCCATACAATCCTAAAGTGTCAGTATCAAATTAATTATTTCATTACATTCTTCTTTATGTAGCTTATCTTCTAAATTTGTTTGGGATCTATTTTTAATTTACATCTAAAATGCGACTTGGTTTAGGTAAAAATCGTTGTTCTGTATTCATTTTTTTATTTTTGTCTAAGGTTCTTTTACTTGGGGTTTACTATTTAAGCAAATGCCCATTGAAAAAAATAATAATAATTATTTATTCTTAAATATTGGAATTTAAAAGGTCAAGACATTATTGGCACTGTATCGACCTCTTATTTTGTGATTTTGGTTGGCTCAGTTGCTTATAAACTGTATTATTATTCATCATCGGCAGGTCTTCTTTGTTTTCTTTCTTTTTTTGGTTTCTTTTCTACAGAATCAACTTGATTTTCTTCTTTCTTTTTTTTGGATTACTTAATTGATAATAATATTATAATACTTAAACTTTAGATGATTTAACTTTTCTCTTTTTCTTCAAGTTTTCTGGGTCTTCCTCAAAGTCTTTATTGAGAGAATCATTCAGATTTTACATTTTATGTTGATCTTCAATTCTCTAACAAATTTATTTACTCATATTTGACCAATTTGTTGTAAATGTTAAAATTAGATATAAAATAGCTAGAATTGCATTGACAATACCAAAAGCAAACCATATTCCATATACTTTTTATCCTAATCCCAAATCATAAGCAAAATACACAACTAAAGGTATACCAATTAAATAATAAACAAATAATGTAGAATAGGTTACAAAATCTTTTCTATCTATTCCTTTCAAAATACCAGTCAATGTTCCTTATAATCCATCAATAACAAAAAATCCAAATACAAAAATAGGATATACTTCTAATATTAAATCTGTAATTTCTTATCTACCACCTGAATAGAATTCTGCCCAGGTTTATTTGAAAACTGTTAATGCACTTAAAAATATTATAGTAAATCCAATATATAATAGGAGTCCTATCCATGAATATCTTTTAGCTCTCTTTATATTCTTAGCACCCATTTCATTACCAACAAATGTCATCAATGCTAATGATAGAGAGATGGGAAATTTATAATAAAAATTTGAGGTGTTAGATAAAGCCAATTAAGCATTTAATTGATCAGAACCAAATCCTACTGCAATAAAGTTCAATAAAAAGAAAACAAAATAATCTGCATATATATGTCCTATAATTGGTATTGATCCTCTAAGAAAACTTGCAAATAGTTTCTTTTCCTTTTTTCTTAAAGGAAATTTAAATTTATAATCACTAAAGACTTACTTTTTATATTTAGTTCCACAAATCACTATTAAACAAAATACACAATTCAGAACTTCTGTACATATAATAGCTAATCCTGCTCCTGCAACACCTCCTCCTATATTTAAATAATCTATAAATAAGTAGCACCATAATATGTGAAGAATAGCTGTACCTAATTATATAAACATAAAGACTGCAAAGACCTAGATTTTTAATTGATAATTTTACTTTATTTGCTATCATAAAGCTTTTCATGCATTCATATAAAATGGCAAATAAAGTTGATGGTAATAAATAATATAAGTAAATCTGGGATGAATCTGATGTTGCATCTCTATCATCTTCATTAATGGTCTTAGCAATTAATGGTTTAATCAAAATCAAGATAACTATTTAATTAACTAAATTCAAGTACTTGAAAATGGTATAAAGTACATTAAATGAATAAATATAGTTAATGTAAAATAACTTTGAGCTAACTTAGACTTTTTAGCTCCCAAAGCTTAAGCTGAATGAACATTCAAAGATTAATTTGTTCCTTTTATTTTCACTATTAATAATTACCTAAAGCCATAGGAATTAGTAACACATTCACTGTTGTAAAGGCTAATCCTAAACCTGCAACTGCATTTGGATCATTATGTTAAGCAATAAAATGTAAACTGATTCCAAATACAATATCTAAGCAAACATAGCCAATCACAGTGTAAAATGTAGATGATAGCAAATCTGTCAAGGCATTGGATCCTAAATGATCAGGAGCTTTGTTAGGATTTTCTTTGTTCAATATCGAACTCCCGTGGACTTATGACATATATTAATAATAATTTGATATAAATTACAAGTCATAAATAAAATAAAAATAACAATTTAATGTAATTTCAAAAAAAAAAGAATTTTGAGAATTATCCTAAAATTATTGTTTATGAAATACTTTCAATATTTTAGTAATCATTATTTAAACTACTACTCTCTATTACATATAATTATTTATAACACTTATAATAAGTCTTATTTTTAAATGATAAACTAATGTAATTTTTTAATTTTATTTTTACTTTACATTTTAATTAAAGCTTTTAGAAAAATTTGGATTCATATATGTAATTTTATAATGAAATAAAAATATATATTCATAATTTTTATAATTAAATTTTTGGAAAGAAATAATGAATGATTAACAAAATATATCATAAATTCAATAGAAATTAGAATTGTTTATTAGTTGTAGAGGATTAGCAAATATGGATCTCTTTTCAAAAAGTGATCCTTTTGTTGTGTTACAAATATAATAAAACAAAAATTGGTTTGATATTGGTAAAACTGAAATAGTTTATGATAATTTGAATCCAAATTTTACCAAAACTTTTATTATTGATTACTTTTTTGAATGTTAATAGCCTCTCAAATTTATAGTAAATGATGATGATGGAAATGGAAAATTTGATGTAAAATTTTATTACAATTACAGTTTATTGGTAGTGTTGAAACTACATTAGGTAGTATAGCAGGTTCACGAGATTAAGTTTTAATTGTTGATTTAAAAAAAGGTACTAAAAAAACAGGAAGTTTAATTGTTAAAGCAGAATAAGTTAGATCATTGAATTAGAAATTAAGAATGCAAATATGTAATATCCATATTAAATTTTTTTAGATGGATCTCAATTACCAAATACAAGATTTCTTCCATGGCAGAGTACATGTCCTTTTTTTAGATTATATAGAGAAAGTTAAGATTCAAATTAAAATTTATTAATTTATGAAAGTGAGCAGATCAAGAATTGTTAAAATCCATAATGGAGAAGATTAGATATTACTTTATAAAAACTTTGTAATGGAAATTTAGAAAAACTACTTAAAGTTGAAGTCTTGGATTATAAATTTTAGGGTAATCATCAATAAATAGGTCATACTTAATTTAGAGTTAATGAAGTTATTGATATGAAATAATATTAAAAATAATTATTAGATAGGAATAATAATGAAGTAGGCTTAATTACATTTAATGATGTATGATTATTCAATTCTAAATTTAGTTTAAAATATTTGATCCACCAACTTTTATGGATTATATATAGAGTGGAACTTAAATTAATTTAATAGCTGCAATTGATTTTACAGGATCAAATGGTTCACCTAATACTTCTAATTCTTTACATTATATAGATACTTAATCTGGGAAATTAAATTAATATCAATAAGCTTTACTTGCTGTAGGAGATATTCTGCTGAATTATTCATATGACAAAAAAGTTCCTATGTATGGTTTTGGTTGTAAACCTAATCTAAAGAATTTTAAGTCTACCGAAACTTTACATTGTTTTCCCTTAAATGGCAATCCTTAAGATCCAGAAGTTGAAGGAATAGATGGTATTATGCAAACATATAGTTATGCATTAAAGAATGTTTAATTTAATGGTCCAACTTATTTTAATCCAATACTTCAGGAAGTTATGAAAATAGCTGCATTGAGTAAGGATATGGCAAAAGATACTTATTATGTATTATTTATTTTGACAGATGGTGTAATTCATGATATGAATGTAACTATTATTATTATTATTTAGTAAACTATCGATTCTATAGTAGCATCATCTCATTTACCATTATCTATTATCATAGTTGGAGTTGGAGATGCAAATTTCAATGATATGAATATATTAGATGACGATGAAGGAAATTTAAAAGATTCTAAAGGAAATTAATCATATAGAGATTTAGTGCAATTTGTTCCATTTAATTAATTTAAGGATAATCCAGAATTATTAGCGAAAAATGTTTTACAGGAATTGCCTGATCAGATTGTTGAATATATGCAATTAGTTGATAGATAACCTAGTAATATTATATTATATTAAAATAGAATTCTAACAAAAATAAAAAAATTCTCAAGATTTTTAAACTCCAACACCTGATAATTTCAATAAATTTTAAATATCAGATGAATAAAGGCAATAACTAGATCAATCAGGAAGATTTTCTATTTCTAACAATGAATACTATAAATAGTAAAATTAAGAGAAATAACAAGCTAAATGATAATTAAACATTTTTATAATCATTTTATTTAACATTATATAATATTATAAGAACTTTAATCTATTTTAATATATAACAATATATTTTACTTTTTATTTCTATTAAATTAACATAATTATATATAAGGGATAACATTGTTTGATTTCTTAATCACTTATTTAAAAAAATAATATAAAATTGTAAATAATCAGTTTATAAGCTCTCTTAAATTTCAATTATGAGGTATCTTAATTATTATAAATAACTTTTATTATAAATAAAATGGAACAGTTTACAGTGATATTGATAATTTACTGAAGTATCACATATATTAATTCTAAAAGAGATAAATTATCATTTTAGGATGAGATAACATTTCTTTATCAATAATTAATGATATTAATAGGCTTTTGAATGAAATTAAAATGTAGTAAACCCTTTCTTTGATTGGATAAAAATTAAATATCATAATTAAATCTCATAATTAATTTATTATAATTGACTATTTAAGTATAGATTAATTTAAAAATCATTTATACAAGATATCATCCCATTAATACGAAATTTATTAAATTGACATATTTATATAAATCAGTTGTTATGTATTATAAATTATATTAAAATCCTAATTTCACTCATTATAATAAAATATAGTTAATTTAGTGATTGAATAATTTATATATTATGTAAGAAATAGATATTATAAAATTATTATAGAATATTTAAAAGATTAATAAAAATAGGAATCCATTATTATTTATGAGAAACTCTTCTTAATTTATTTTTATTCAAATTTTATGATTATTGTTTTATTTAGATATAATATTTAGTTAATATATTGAATTATAATTAAAATTGATAAAATAGTCATTTTGTTTGAATCAGTTTAATAATAATTTTTTTTTTTAAATTCTTAACAAGTGTAAGAGTTTCATATTTATTAAATTCTAAGAAATTATATAAATTAGATATTATTCATATTCCTTATTGAAGAGATAAAAGCATCATACAAAATACTTATTTTTATATTTTTACAAAACTTTAGTACATAATTTAGTTGCTCTTCTATTTGGTAAGCGTATTGAGATTGGACTATCAATTTTATCATAAGTATTTCTCATTAATTTCAAAGGAGATAAACATTATTCACCTAACCTTTCTGGAGAAACACTCGATGGAAAATTAGGTGAATTGGCATTATTATTGTCTTAATTATTTTGTTATTAGTTTGAGCTGGTTGTTTCCATATTAGTACTTTTTTTCTTTATAGTGCTTAAACTAGGTTTAGGTTGTATTGTATAAATTTCTTCTGGTGTAGATGGAGGTGATATCTGAATTGGCTTCTAAAAAACTATATAATTTTCTAGTTTGTAAAGCTTTTGAAGTAATAAATAATTAATACATTTTACTTTGGCCCTTTCATCAATTCTGAACAGAATAAATAAAAAAATAATTAACTAATTCTCAGAAATTCTTTTTAATTTTAGAATCAAATTAATAAGATTTAGAATATTCAAAGACCTTCTATTTAAACTATCCATAGTAAAGTATTAAAAATTATATAAGGATTAAAGATGATGTCATTAATATTTACTTTGTAATTAATAGAAATCTTAGTAGTATATGATTTTGAATGTAAAATAATTATAAATTTTAATCAAATGTTATAAAAGTTGTGGATATGATAGATACTATATAAGAATGTAATGTAAATAAATATATTTAATTACATATATATATTTATATATTAATTATGAGTTAAGACACAAAAATAATTAAACGAACTTAATTTACACCTTAAGAGTCAGATATAAAAAATATCATTCCAACTTAAGGGAAATCAAAAGAAGAGATGCGAATTTTCCTTTTTGAGTTTTTTGGAATGGCTTTATTTGCATATGGGTAAAAAGGCATTTCTTAATATAAGAATTATATGTTCATAAGGATCTGATGAATTTTTGGCCTTATTTTTCTTTGCATCAGTGTGTTTGGCTGGACCATTTTCAGGAGCACATGTAAATCCTGCTGTTACTTTGGCAATGTTACTTTCAAGAAGAATCAATTTTGGATAAGCAGTGTTATATTGGTTAGCATAATTTACTGGGGCATTATGTGGGGCTTGTTGTTGTTATTTGATATTGAATGAAGTTGATAGTCCTTAAGTAAAGAGTACAGAATATAGTTGGATACTTTCAGATTTTAGTGGTGAGGCATTTGGAACATTCACGTTTATTCTTTTTATTCTAATATAAACAGATTCAGAAACAACATTAACACCAGGTGGATAACCAATGACAACTTATGTATTAGTAGCGTTGGCGTTGTATTTTTCAAGAGGATTTACATTTCATTCTGGAGGTACAAATAAAAGTTTTAATCTACTAAAGGTTGTTTGAATCCTGGGATGGCAGTATCCTTATAATTGTTTTAATCATTTTAAACTGGAGATAGATAGAGAATGGAATTTTTGTGGGTATTTGTAGGTGGTCCATTGGGTGGAGGATTTGGTGCAAGTGTGTTTTTTGAACTCTTTTATAAGAAATAAATAAAGAGACTGTGAAATTATAAATAATTTTAATTAAATAATGGGTAGTTTAAATTTGAATTGAAATTCATTTGAATCAAATAAAAAAATGCAATATANTAAATAATTAATACATTTTACTTTGGCCCTTTCATCAATTCTGAACAGAATAAATAAAAAAATAATTAACTAATTCTCAGAAATTCTTTTTAATTTTAGAATCAAATTAATAAGATTTAGAATATTCAAAGACCTTCTATTTAAACTATCCA